TCATATTGAAGAAATCGATAAACCAATCAGAAAATGGCGCTTTATTTGAACTAAAACAATTGAATATCGATTATTAGAGATTTAAAAATGAAAAATAATAGAATTAAACAATGATTATTATTAATTAATATGTTTAAGATGAACCAATCAGAAAATGGCACTTTATTTGAACTGAAACAATTGAATATCGATTATTTAAATATTTCAATTATATTTAAAAAAGAAAAATGAATAGAATTAAACAATGTTTATTATTATTTAATATGTTAATTAATTGTTTTTAATATTATTTTCTTTGTTTTAGTTATTTTTATTTTAGATTACAGTAGTCAGTGATTCAATCGGGAGTATCATCTTTCTTTTACGTTTCTTTTCGTTTCTTTTCTTTTTCTTTTTTTCTTTTCTTTTCTTATTCGTTCGTCGAAGCAGGAAACTATTTACTACGCCGACCGTACGAGAGTAATCAACGTAACGAGACTAATCAAGCGACTATGGGTTATTATCGAAACTTTTCTACGCCGTGGCACAACGCGTATACCGTGTCTATGTATTCGCGAGATACACATACGTCATAAAAAAAAAAAAAAAATTATACATTCATATAAACATACATAGAGATGAATATACATACACGTGTGTATGTAATGTGTATACAACAAGTTTCTTTTACTAGAATGGTGTCCTTGTAGATGTTATTTAACAAACGATAAAATGTTGACTAGTGACTAAGAATTGCAATTAATGTCTAATAATAAGTCAAAGTAATGTCTCGTTTGCGAGTTACCAATGAGAAAAAATTAAAAAAAAAAAAAAAATATGAAGAAAACACATAAAAAAAACGAGAATACAAGATAATATAAAAATAAGAACAAATTATTTAATAAACTATACAAATATTTTATAATACGAATGATGATGATTTTAAGATTATATTTTGTTTTTATGTTGGTTTGTTTTTGTTTAAAAAAAAAAAAGAAAAATAAATTTTAAACTCGTCGTCATCGTCATCATCATCATCATCATCATCATCATCATCATCGTCATCATTATCGTCTTTTATCTTTCTCTCAGGAGTATAAAATTACGGATGCGGCTTGGGAGTTCGCATTACCACCTCAAAGTTTCCACCTACGTACAGAATTCTCTTTAATAGATGACTACTTATCTCACCGTACGATCATTATCACGTTTGATCCGGTTAAACGAGAAGACATCGTGTCGGGAATATATAATGTTTAAATATCTAGTTAGTCATCGGTTACTATTAAAACGAATTACGTGAATCGTTCATTAATAGAGAAAAATAATATTTTTTTTTTCCTTTTTTTTTAAATAAGAATTTAAGAAACTTAGAACTTGCATCTAAAGAAGATGCAATAATTTATCTATTTTTTTGTTTAATTTATTTACAATTTATTTATTATATATATAAATACTAAGATGCTCTGACCGCTGTGGTTTTGTTATAAAATGTTAATTTAATATAATTCTAAATTATTTTAGTAAATTATAACAACACAAAATTTTACCAAAAAATATAAAAAGCAAAGTTAGGTTATGTCGTATGTAAATCTGAAAACAACGTGAAATAATTGAATTGTAATACAGTGCCATCTATTGAACGTTGATTTAATCTAATTTTAAACTATTTTAGTAATTTATAATAGCACAAAATAATACCATAATCAGAATGGAATACATAAAATAATAATACACGAAAAAATGTAAAAAGCAAGGTTAGATTACGTCACATGAAAATCTGAAAACAACGTGAATTGAATTGTAATACAACGCCATCTATTGAACGTTGATTCAATATAATTCTAAACTATTTAATGCAGTCAAATCAATATTCATTCATAATTTCTGAGACTTTAAATTAAGCATAAAACAACATCTTATTTTTAATGAAAAAATATAAAAAGAAAGGTTAGGTTATGTCGTACGTAAATCTGAAAAAAAACGTACGACGTGAATATATCAAAATAATTGAATTGTAATACAGTGTCATCTATTGAAAACTTACAGAACTTAGTCTAACCTCTAAATAATAAATCCTAAAATTAAATAAATCAATACTCTAACTATTTATAAAATGAATGCTAGTCATTTATTAGTAATAATAATAATAATAATTAATAAATATAAATAAAAATAAGAGTAATAAAAGTTTCGTTAGATGTTAGATGAAAGAAAACCGGTTGGTTTGAAAGACCAACATTTATCGGAGTCCGATAATCGAACGTTCGATTTTAGATTTAACGATACTTCGAAGTATTTAACAAAAAGAGAAGAAAACAAATGAGAAAAAGAGAAATAAAGAGAGATAGATAGATAGAGAGAGAGAGAGAGAGAGAGAGAGAGAGAGAAGTAAATATGTAGTTGAAAAATAAATCTAAAAAAAAAGGAAATAGTTTTTATCGTTTATATTGAAGTTAGTATTCTTTATCAATGTTCGTGTACCATGTCAAACATTCATGTTCCGCGAAATAACCGGAATGGTCAATACGTTTCGTACGAGATGAGAATTACTATTAAAAAAAAAAAAAATAAAATAAACTAAAATAAACAAAATGAAATTGCAATAGAATATAAAAATAAATTTAATGTCTTTTTAATATTAAATACACATCTATTCAATATTTAGTGCACTACTAGGGTAGAATGATTTAAATAATAAATATCTTAATATATACAAATTACGTGTCACATTGTTTGTCCGCAATAGACTCCTAAATTACTGAACCGATTTTAATCAAATTTTGCACACTATGTGCAGTTTCATTCAACTTGAAAGATAGGATAGTTTATATCTCAATTTATAATCGCAATATTATTTTATTAATCGCGAATTATTTGTTTATTAACAAAGAGTCATGATTATCTCTGTTAGTTCGATAAGATTCTAACAGATGGCGGTATAAGGTAATTCGTTGACTTAAAGAGACGTGTGTATCGGACTGATTAGGAGCCACAGCAACGCGTGGCGGGACACCCCTTGTTTAAATATAAATATTTCAATTTAAATATTTGAATTTAAAATATTTCAACAGTTAGGTTGTATTAGTTAAATTTACATTTTTATTTGTTTATTATTTATTTTTGATTTTATTATTAAGTTGAATCAAAAGTTTGTGAGTTGGTTAATTCATATTTTCAAAGTTTATTTTACAAGAAGTATCCATTATGTAATTTTAAGGTTATGTTTCAATACAATAAATGCACGCAAAATTTTGGGTATTATTTATAATAGTAATTATATTAATATAATTATAATAATATTAATTGTTTACTTAATAAATTATTTTGTTAGTTATATTATTTCATTTGCTTTTTATTTGGAAGAAAATTTTTGTTTTATTTTTCTTTTGATTTCTACTTTTGTTTTTTTTTGGGGGTTAACACAGAATAAAAATTGTTTCGTTTGAATTACGATTTTATAAATTTAACTGTATGAGTGTGAGTCTATGAGTAAGTTAATTTCAACAAGATCAAAAATAATACTATCTTAGTCTTTGATCGATGTAAACCGAAACCGTCTTAGCTTGAATTTCTAACGAAGAAAAATAAGAAGATGAAGAAGAAAAAGAAATAGAAGAAGAAGAAGAAGAAGAAGAAGAAATATTTCACCTTGAGACAACTTGCATCAGACTAATGTAAGTTTTGAATAACTTCCGGTGAGTCTTTTGACGAATTCACAAACATACAGACACATATATACACTCACATACGTGTTCAAGATGATTTTGATGATACAACGAAAATAATCTGACAAATCAAAGTTAGTTTCTTTGAATAAATTTCAATTAAATACTCGCAAACGTCGACTATCGATGATAATTTAATTAAAACGAAATCTAGTATTTTGTGAAAAATAAATTAAAAAAAAAAAAAAACTTTGTTTAAATATTAAACTTTTCATTTTGTTAAATGTAATAAATTTTTTATTATTTTTTTTTATTTTTATTTTATAAAAATACTTAGTATAAATTTAAGTACAAATCTGAATAAATTTCTACTAAAATTTAACATAAATCTATCTTTTATATCTACAGTTATTTTTTATAAATAAAAAAATATATACCGGGGTAAAAAATAAAAATTTTAAATTGTTAAATATTAAAATAAAGAATCTAATATTATATGAAAAATAAATTTAAAATTTTGTTTAAATATTAAACTTTGCATTTTGTTAATTGTAATAATTTCCACTACTCCCCTTTTTTCATTTTTTTTTTATAAAAAAATCTACAGTTTGTAATCTGCAATTCTTTTTTTATAAATAAAAAATATATAGTGGAGTAAAAAATAAAAATTGTTAAATATTAAAATAAAGAATCTAATATTATATGAAAAATAAATCTAAAATTTTGTTTAAATATTAAACTTTGCATTTTGTTAATTGTAATAATTTCCACTTCTCCCCTTTTTTCATTTTTTATAAAATAATCTACAGTTTTTAATCTGCAATTCTTTTTTTATAAATAAAAAATATATATAGTGGAGTAAAAAATAAAAATTGTTAAATATTAAAATAAAGAATCTAATATTATATGAAAAATAAATTTAAAATTTCGTTTAAACATTAAACTTTTCATTTCTTTGTAAGAACTAATAATAATAATAATAAAAATAAGAAACTAGCATTCGATTAGTAAAAAGCTTTTTCTACTATTAGAAAATATCGATTTCTCATAATGATTAGAAACGCCAAAGTGCACCTAACCTAAGTAAAGTACTTCTTACGCTTCGATTAATGGCGAAACGTTATTTCGGTTTTAGGTGCGCCGTTTTAATGACGTCATTTAAAACGTAAGCAACCGTATACGTGCAAAAATATTATACTATACAGAAAAAAAAAAAAAGAAAAAAACAACATATACATGTGTGTGTGTTAGACTAAAAATACGAATAGACGTAATTTAAAATTAAAAAAAAAAAATTATTTAATTAATTGAATTTATTAATAATTGATCAATTGATTTAATTATTTGACTTACTCGGTGTCAGGTACAGGTATCATAGGTGGGGGTAAGCGGCCATTATGGTCCAAAAAATGATTGATCTCAGGTTCTTCTTGAACTGGAGTCTCATAAACAAGAGTCTCAACCATCGATCCTTTACTGGACCCAAAGGACACTCTAAAAAATATAAATATATATGTTAAACTAATTTTTTTATTTCCTTAAATTGTTTAATATTATTATTATTATTATTATTATTGTTATTTAAGAATAATAATACAAATTGATATATACGAAACGAAATAAAAATCATTTATTAGGTTATTAACTGTGAAATGTCTGATTACTCGGATTATATTCATCTCGAAATCAGACATTTCATATTTAATGACCTAATATTAATTAATTTAATTTAATTCAATTGGGTTTTATAAATATTTAATATTTAATTAAATTAATTTATATTTAATTTATATTATAAATATTATTCTATAAAATTAAATATAAAATGATAAAATATAAAATTATAAAATATAAAACTATATTAAAATATAAAATATTATTATTTTTATTTAATTCAAAATTAAATTTATTATTTTTAAATTAAAACAAATTAATTTTAATTTTATTTAATTTTATATTTAATTTTAATAATTATTTTTATTACTCGTATATTTATTTAATAAATACCTATAGGTGTTATTATTTATTACGTTTGAAGTAACATTAGGAAAAATTGATTTTAAAATACTACTTAATACAAAACGTTGCTTATTATTAAATGTTTTTGTTATTAGTATACCAATTAGCATCCTAAACAAACAAAATTTCGTTCAAAAATATGTGTCAATCGTTAAAACAAAAACAGAAAACAAATAAATCAATTTCCATTGATGCAAAACAACCCCCTTTCCCTCTTTTGTAAATTTTGTACTAAATTTCGTTTAAAAAAAAAAAATGTGTTGTTCATCGTTGAAACGAAAAAAAAAAACATAAAAAAATAATTTACATTGACACCATAAAAAACAACCCTCTATCCCCTTTTTATAAATTTTTTACCATTAATGATAATAAATAAATCGTAGAATAATATTTTCAGATGTATCTTTTACGAGATACAAACACCAACTAATACTACTTCATTATACGTTAAGTAAGTTGTACAGATGAAATAAATAAAAAAATATTGTTAATAAACCTCAGTTTCCTATCAAGTGACAGCCGACAACCGAAGTATAGGGGGATGAAGTGGTAAAGGGGGTAAAAAAGGAGGAGGGGGGGTAGACGAGTCGGTGACCGCAGAAGCTAGACAGACCGATATCAAAATTGAAATTCCGTGATCGAACGATCGGATTACTACTATCCAGTATGTTGATAAAGATGAATAGAATAACAAATAATAATAATAATAATAATAATAAAAATAAAAATTAAAAAAAAGAGAGAGAGAGAAAGAGACAGACAGAAAGAGAGAAAGATCAAATACGAAGAATGTTTTCAATTTAATTTCGAATTTCAATATTTCTATTTCATTGAAATTTGTTTCCTTTTTTTTTTTTTTTTTTTTTATTCTTAACGATCTGTATTATTTATTTAAATAAATAACTATGAAATGAAAGTATAGTTTGTTATTGGAAATAAAAAGAAAATTTCTAATTGGTTGTTGCTTTTATTTTTATTTTTTTTTTGAATTTAGGTTGAATTTTGAAACTTTTGACAATAGTGTATCACAAGCATATTAATAAATTTAAACAAATTTGTTTTTTTTTTTCTAATTGTAATATCGTTTTATTTACTTTATTTTGAATTTACGTTGAATTTTGAAACTTTTGATAATAATGTACCATGCATAATAATAAATTTGAAAAGGTTGTTGTTTTTTTAAATTACAGTATCGTTTTATTTAATTTTTTTTTTTAATATACGTTGAATTTTGAAAATTTTGACAATAGTATATCACAAGCATATTATTAAATTTTAAAAAATATCCTTTTTTCTAATTTTAAAATGTTTCTTTTTTTTTCGAATTTAGGTTGAATTTTGAAACTTTTGACAATATTGTACCAAGCATATTAATAAATTTAAAAAGATTTATTTTTTTTTAATAATTATATCGTTTTATTTTTTTTTTTAATTTAGGTTGTATTTTGAAATTTTTGACAATAATGTACCATGCATATTAATAAATTTGAAAAGGTTGTTTTTTTTTTAAATTACAGTATCGTTTTATTTTTTTTTTTTAATATACGTTGAATTTTGAAAATTTTGACAATAGTGTATCACAAGTATATTAATAAATTTAAAAAAATCTGCTTTTTTTCTAATTTTAAAATATTTTTTCTTTTTTTTGAATTTAGGTTGAATTTTTGAAACTTTTGACAATAGTGTACCAAGCATATTACACGTGWATAAGTTCCACCATTTTCAACAATTACAATTAGATGTAAGTACAATAGTATATAGTCATAGATAATTTGCAATTTAAACAATAAATCGCAAATGGAACCTGTATATAACAGGAAAATCAATCGTCCGTTTATTGTTCATGAGTAT